GCAGGAAAAGGCAATTGATAAAATAGTGCGAGTTTATTAATTACTTTCAAACTAGTTCAATTTCCTGCAGGGTATGTACATACGTTGTTAATGAAATCATTTTACACCACAACCAAATTTGGAGCAAATTGACAGACAAACCAAATTCAATTGCACTGCCGTCATAGTGCTGAGCGCAATTCCTTTTCAAATGCCGGTTAAGTAGCGTTCGTTCGACTAACGAATTGCCAAAGTGCTGAGCACAATTCAATTTAATGCGCTGACCTTTCTAAAAACGAGGATGCCGCCTTACTACGAGAAAAAAAAGCAACAACATGCAGGAAGGTGCGGTGCGAAAACCTTAACAGATAGGCGGCAGCCCATTGCACACCTGCGTACTAGTGGAGATACAGGCATACAAAAACATATATTCAAATACATAACTATGCTGTCATGTTGGACGAATAAAAAAACTGAATGACGAATATTTCCTTGCCTTCTAGCTATCCTACTTGTCTTTTACAAACAAGTCACATACATGCAGTCTCCGCCAAAACTCTGGCATCCAGCCTTACTACAAACCTTTAACAACAGTCAATGTCAGAGATCGATAGCACCTACATACCAATATATACATACATCGTGGAAACGACGGATGTTATGCGACAACGGCAATCGTTCTTCGCATTTGAGTGACTTTTAGCGTTGTTGGTGGCATTGATTGAAATTCGATATTGCGAAGGCGTGTGCTTATGTCGGCATAAATTTGTATGCGTTCATGTTTTTGTGTTTGAGTATGAGTGAAGCTGATACTTAGATAGTACGAGTAAGTTTGGTTATGCCCAATATTATTCACTATATATATAAACGATATTAAAAAAGCTCTTAGCCATTGCAAGATTAGGCTCTTTGCTGATGATGCATTATTGACTGTAAGCTGCTCATCGGAGATAGAAGCCATGTCCAAGATGCAAGAGGACTTGGATGCTGTATATAAGTGGCTGTGTCAAAACAAGCTGAAAATAAATATTGACAAAACAAAATGGATGATCATGAGGAGGAAATCTGCCGAAGAAGGTGATATGGCCCTGAAAATAGCAAATAGTGCAATACAAAAAGTCAATGAAATGAAGTACCTTGGAATAATAATTGATGAGAAGCTTAAGTTCGATGAGCATCTTAAATATACAGAAGCGAAAATATCAAAAAAAATTGGATTTATGTTTCGAACGTGTAGGCATGTGAGCAAATATTATAAAATAATGGTATATAGGGCCATTATAGAACCCCATTTCATATATTGCCCTACTATTTTATTCACGTTAGCTGACTCAAACATTTCAAAACTGCAGGTGAAACAAAATAAAGCAATGCGGTTTATCCTTAAAAAACGCTATGATACCCCAATACATGAAATGCTTGAAAGCCTAAATTGGCTAAGTGTAAAACAACTCATTGTTTACTATACGTTAAAATTCATACACAACATAAAAATAGGAAACCTGCCGAAATATCTGAACGATCGAATGATTTATAACAACCAGGTACATGATTACCAGACAAGAAACAGGAACAACTTTCGTTTGCCAGCTGTACGATCGGAATTCGACAAGAAAAATATATACTACGAGGGATTGAAAGAATACAACGAGTTACCATGTGAAATAAAACAATGCCAAAATATTAATAAATTTAAGAAATTATTGTATAATTACTGCAAAACACTACCTATTAGATAATGATCTCATAATGATAATGATCTCATAGAGGAATAGAAGAATGTAAGCTAGGTCAATAAGACCGTAAAAAATAAAATAAATAAATAAATTAAAATCTATACATATTCAAATATTTCGTTGTTTACTTCCATTTTTGTACAAATGTAAGGTTCTTTGCTTACACCGCTTTCTGTTTTTGTTTGCACATGCAAATCAGCTGATCGTTTGACACATTTCATGAACTTACAGGAAAAAAAAAACTCCGGACTAAATCCTGTAACTTCTAACTAGGTACAGTTGCTCAGTTACTCTCTCAAGTGTTCCCACGTACAGGGTTTATGTCAATAGGAACAACTTCCTGTAAGTTCTAATTAAATCCTTTAAACCGAGCTGCTATTCGAACAGACTACATGTGATACTCACTGGCGATGCATGATGCAATAATTCAGGGTGTTGACGGTTGGCAACTTCTCGCTCTAATTCAGCCATATTGACTGCCTTAGCTGAAACAGTGTTACTTTTTTAACAATTCTTTGCCTTATAATACAGTTGAATTTTCTTTTATTTTTTCTCAGTATACACATTTTGTTTTCTCAAAAAGGTATTTATCTTATTTTATTTTATTTCATTACAAATATACTATAAAAAAGTAAATTTTGTTTAGAAGAAATAATGAAATTTTATATTGGTCCCCCAAATGGGGATTATTTTCTTCCTGTTTTTCTTCTTATTCTACTGAGCTAAGGCAGTGTCAAATCGAGCTGTTACAACTGATACCACCTTTTTACCTCCCTTTTATTAGCTCGGGATGTAACTATGTAATATTGATGCGCCTAAAAGATGCAGCGATTTCTATTCTCAAGTCACATACCTGATAACATTACGAATGGAAATTATAATAGCGAGGTTTTAGTTTTTTAAATTATAATTTTATTTGAAATTTTGTTGCGAACGATCTTCCAGATTTTATTATATTGCATCATGCTGGCGATGGGGATCTCAATCAAGTACTTCCATCAACTTTTTGAGAGCAATATGAAAAACGTGATGAAAAAATTTGCGTACATATGACTTACCGTCTTCCTTCAACTTATGTCCTTATGTATTGTTCTCCTTTTAGCCAACGCAAAATTTGCAAATGCGTTAGTAAGATAAATGAGAATGTGTTAGTTTCCATTACACAAAATTTTGGACAGTAAATTGGTGCCGTTATTAGGTTGACCTGTAACACACTTACCTCTACATACATAAGCAAACAATTCAAAGTGTTCATTCTTTATTCGAAAGTGAGACCAAAATTCAGATTTACAGCCCTATTCTGCAACTCTTTCGTATTCGGATTTTGCTACGAATCATAGAAATAGTATGCTGCAATCCGAATCGTATTTTCGAACTTTCGAAATGCGTAACAATGACATACCTAAAAACGAATGAGCATGGGCGTAGCCAGGTAGGGGCAGGGGGGTGCTCGAGCTCCCCCCCTAACTTTCAAATTTTCCTTATATATATATAAAATAGTACCCTGAAATGCCAGCTTAATAGGGTCGAGCCGCGCCCCCCCTCCCCCCCTAAATTTCATTCTGGCTACACCGATGCGAATGAGTAAGCTTTTTTGCGTAATTTTGTACGAAAACAATTCTGTGTCGGAGGCGAAATAAAAGATGTAAATCGATGTGTGTTTGCTAGAAATATTGGTGGTGTTCATTTAAACAGATAAATTTGCCTTTTGCATATACGTATATTTTTATCCACTGCTTTATATAAACGATCAAAAAAGAATATTTGTTACCCCTTATCGAGAAACTTGGGTCCGGTTTAGTTAATGTACAACGATTTTCGGTTGTTGTGTCCAAACGCATAACCCGAATCCAAAAACTTTAACACACACGTGTAATAAAAGGATTCATATTTTATTTAAGATAAATGTTTCGAATTTCCTACCACTAGCTTATTAATAAACTCGGTTTGCACTACGCACTGTTTTGCAAATTTCGTCGTGGGTTCTGCGCAAAAACACTGTGGACGGCGTAGCCGTAGTGATATGCACAAGAAATGTTGTATACCTTTGGCATGCAGAAGCCCCTCTTGCCGCAACACTGAAAGGAGAATTCTACGTTAGTGAAGGGTTAAATCCCTAAGCGCGGCCGAAGGCAGAAGCAAGCGCAACAGGTGGTGGACCTAACAAAGTGCATGTTTTCAATGGCTTGGAAGAAGCTGTTATTGCATTAACTGGATTGAGACCAGAGCTTCAGGCATAGGAGGAGATCTGGCTTGTGGTTCAACTATTCAACCAGAAGTTGACTTAGAGGCGCCCATGGTTACTATGCTCGACAGCTCCGCATACCTTTGTGAATCCATTGCCATAGCGCCCGCTTTCTCTGCTGCTATAATTGCAAATACATCAGAATCCATAATCTTCCTCAAAAAATTTAAAATTAACCAATATTGCGATAAACAAGCACATGATGAGTGTTTTTTTTTATTCCTTTCCACTTTGTTTTCCTTCATTCAGCTTCTTCGAAAAACAACTCATAGCTGGCAATGCTGCACATATTTCCGCAAGGGTTGCAGCATGTGGATTTTTCGTTTTTCGCAGCGTAGCTACGAATTACAAATTACGAAAGTTCGGGTTCTAGAATAGGGGGGTTCATTTTCTCAATTTGGTGTCGATGTTGGGAATATCGAGTCTTTTTATCCCGCTATTGATGGATCCCGATACAGCGAAACCTTAATTGGCCATTCAAATACAACTTTCCTCGCTTTGCTTGACAGTTCAAACTTTGACAACAAAGCGTGAAACGCTGAAGGTATGCTACAATAAACGCTTTGACAGCTATTGCGTTCTCCTTTTCCTCCATTTATTTATCTGTAAAATAGATAACGATATAATAATATGCGTTAATAATAGCAATAAAAATTCCTATTTATCCTATTTTTGTCATTAAATGCAAATGCAAGCGCACGAGAAAAGATACATGTAGACAGCTTATTGCCAAAGCGGGCAAAAGTTGAGAGTTGCCCAAGATTTTGTTTCGTTTTGCTTTGCTTTGCTTCAAACGTTTTTTATGTGAGCATACAAAACGAAACAAAATC